CTCTGTTCACTCTTACCAAGCACTGCAGCATGGCAGGGTCTGATTCTCCCTTCCTGTAAGAGCTGAGCCTTGTTGGCAGAACTCTCTGGTGCCGTAGAGAGGGGCAGGAACTCTGCCCTGCAGAGCACAGCTTCATCCGTGTCCGGCATCCCCTCGGCACGGTGCACTCAGCAGCACCAGCCACAGGCTGCTTCTTACCAGCCAAGTGGAGTCACTGAAGCATGAGGCTCAAAAATCTCTGCAAAATGCAGTGTCTGCTGCAGAATGGCTGTTTGCAGGAGGTGCCTTCTAGCAGCCAGATGTGCTACAGCCTTCCAGTTGCTCCAGTGTCACATCAGTGGCAGATAATGAGCTGGGAAGAGGGGAAGAGCAAAAAAGTGCCAAGATAAATTTTAATTACAGTCCAGCACAGGGCACCTTGTGACAGAGTTTTGGATATCCTTTCCTGTGCTTTGACAATCCAGTTCCTATTAAGAACTAAATATTAAGGAAAAGTTGTTATGTTAGGTGAGGGGAAAAAAAGCCTTGCAGAGCTTTTCCTTGTACAACCATTGCAAGAAGCATACTGAAGTTGGAGACTGCTGAGGCAGAGTGCCTCTGTCATCTACTGTGACAGAACTGAGGGTGATCTTAGTTTGAGTGCCCCATAGCTGTGACATGAGAAAAGTTATCTTAGTGCTTCTTACCTGCATTCAGTTGAGAAAATCCCAGAGGCAGGAGAGAGAGCACAGGTATAGCCAATGGTCTCCTTGCACTGGCAACAGTTTAACAAACAAATTTTGTGTCTTTTGAATCTGCTGAGGATGGAGAATTGGGAAATGGTAGCAGGTAAACATCTCTTTCTTCCCAGTATTACCATTTGCTGAAGTCCTTGGGGAATTTTTATGATTAAAGATCTCTGGATATTTTTCAAACCATGCTGAAATAGTAGCAGACATCAATGGAATTGAACTTAATCTGGGTTGAGTTACAATGACACTGATCCCTGTAGTGTTTGACCCTGTGTTCAGTGAGGTTCTTGTACATGAAACCATGAGCTCTCCAAGCTGGAGGACTGGAATGAGCTGTACCTTGGATTGTTTCCCTACACTGAGCTCTGTGCCATGTGGCTTGACCCTGCATTTCTAGTCCTAGGTTTGCCAAAGCAGTTTGGGCCCCCGGAAGGAAGGGCGGGCTCAGCAGCTCTTTCCAGCGAGGCTGTCACCTGTGGTGCTTTATACAGGAGGAAGCAGCAGGGACAGAACAGCCTTTCTGCCTTTAGGGGTGGCACGGAGGACGTGGCAGCCTTTAAGCTGCTCTAACAGAAGCGCAGCTGCTCCTCAGAACGTGCCTCCTCCCTTTGAAAAATGCTGCAAAAACTGAACCCTGGGCTAGGTGCTGGTTGCTTTTGCCAGTGATGTGGCCTCTTGTGTCTTGCAGAACGTGGAGATGCTCAGCAGCCTGGACTCCGCCTCTGTTCGCATCATCAAGCCGTTCCCTGCGGCGCAGGCCACGAGCCGGCACCAGCCGCTGCAGCCCCTGACGCCCGCGCCCGCGCCGCCCAAGCAGGACCACCAAAGGATGGACACCATCCAGGAGGACCCCAGCACCGACTCGCACATCGACGAGGACGCCTTTGAGAAGGACCCTTTCCCAAACAGCAGCTCTGCCGCCAAATCTTTCGAGGACTTGACAGACCATCCTGTCATTAGGAGTGAGAAAGCTTCATCCTTCAAACTACAGCGCCAGAACCGGGTGGACAGCAAAGAAACAGAGTGCTAGTGTCCTGCTGCCTTCTAAATGTATGACTCGTGTCTGCAAAATAAGGATCTGAAACCATTTCATTTCTATAAATATAAATATATGTATATATATTTTTGTGAGGGAGTGGGAGAATAAGGAAGCGACCTACTGCAGATGCTGGTCATGTGTATGACCTTCCTTAAACTACATTTATTAGAGCATTATATCTTTTAAAAAGGAAAATCCAAACTAGAACTGGCTTGTTTTTGAAGCTTTTTGGATTTGTTTTTCTACTTTTTTGACCTTTAACATTTCCTTTGACCTGTGGTGCAAAACCAAATATCCTGATGGATATTGGATTGTGTATATCAGCCTTTTTTTATAATTTAATATTTTGTAGTCTACAGCACTGATAGACAAAATTAAGGGGCTTTTAAAACCAAAAGATAATTAAGGTACATGTAACCAAAAGCCTAAGCAAATGCCTTGAGAACAGAGAGTAATGAAACATAAAAATACAGTCTCGCAGCATTCAGTAAAATGCATAATCAGAATAAAGAACCTTAAAACGCCCAGCTTCTGTATAAATAAAAGGATCACAGAGGTTGTTACACTGTACACAGTGCATGAGAAATGCTCCTTTAGCGGCTGCCTTGTCTTGGTGGCTTTTGTTGGGAGTTTCCCACTCTGCACTGATGTTTGTGTGTCGTAGGTGTCTGGTTGTAGATCGAAACATAAAGAAATCATTTACGCAGATGACATTTTACACTGCTGTTTTACAGCAGTTTTGGTGCAGAAATGTTTCTCCAAATGTTATTTTAAAATAGGCAACACTATTGCTGAAATTTTCAAATTACTGAGCTGTTTTCTGTGGTCTCTGTGGCCTTTAAAACTCCTGCATGAATGATGGGAAAAACTCACTCCATCGCAGGGGAGGCATTTAAAAACAATTGTGAATTTAGTAAAGAAATAAACCTTTGTTAAAACTTGCAGGGTAAGTACAAAGAGATTTTGTGAATACAGATACTCACAAGCTGATAATTGGATGGTGTCTTCTGTACACCTGGAGATCTCTCAGGTGAGCTGGGACTGACACATGAACATTGTTTTAGCTTAGTAGCAGATGGACTGACATAGTGGAGTCACAGAGCAACTGTCCTGCTAGTACAGCAGCACCTTCATTCTGCAGCTGTTTTCTCCCACAATAATCTGTTGTAAAACTGGCAGAACATGGCTAAGGGCAGGACCATTTAGCTCTTACAAGCCTGGACTCAAGACACAGGGATGTGAGGCTGTGGTGAGCCCAAATGTGAGGGAAAAGGACTGAACCTGTGCTGCAAAGTTGTGTGAGTGCTCCCTCTCCTCCACATCCAAGGATACTTGTTACACTAGTTACTTGAATGTGTGCCTTATGGTATTCCTATCTGACTAGCTATTATGTTTTATATGCTGGTTTTGAACTTTGTTTTGGGGTTGTTTGGTTTTTGTTCGGGTTTTCTGTTTTTTGATTCAGTGCAAAGTACAAGTGTGAGGAGTTAATTTAATTCCCAACAAAATAAAAGCTTTTTATAATAAAAAAAATCAGTTAACCAAGAACTGTTTCTATGTAATCCTTTTCTAAAAGATCTCTATTCTCTGGTTGTCAAAGCCTGGGTTTAGTCTGGCATGCAGCCAGGCAGGAGCCAGGGTTTCTGACTGCTCCTGTCTGAGCTCAGATGCTGCAGAGGCCAGACCTGGACTATCGCTGGTGCAGACCTGCACTGTGAGGGCTGCCTGCTTCCTCCCAGGCTGAAGCTGGTACTGCCATGTGTCCTGCAGATTATCACCCGTTCAGATGGTGACATTAAGTGCCTGAGGGATGGGGGTGTGCTCAAATGCCTGTTCAGCTACCAAATCTGTGAGTACATGTTCTCAGCACAAAGGTCTTTACATCCCAGGTGAAAACCATTCAGTGGCAGGTGCTTGGGATCATGAAAACAGAGATTTGAAGCAGGCCTTGGAAATCACTGAATTTATCCCCCAGCCTGAACTGTATTCCAGAAACTGAAAGCAGTACTTGCATGGTTTGTTCATAACATCTAAGGCAGGAAGATCCACACCTTCCCACTGGGAACCGCTTTTGCTGTTCAGCCAGTCTGTACTGTAAGCATTTATTACAGGAAGGATAGTCCAGTTTAATACTCATAAATATTTATATATCAAACTCACTTCTACGCTGGCTCCAGGAACTTGAAAAATACTTTTGGTTCAGTTTATAACACTGTGACATAGTAGATGACAGATCTTGGCCAGCTTGTCTTAATTATTTCATGAAGCAAAGGCAGTCTAATGGCACTAACAGTGCAGGACAGCATGAGAGCCTCTCATTACTCTCTCATCCCCTACACAATAAGCACACTTGTTCCATGTCAACGTAACTGTTAATACAGCCCAGAAGTATGGAGGGGTCATATTTGCAGTGATACACCATTTGATTTTTATGAACGGTTAGTTGTAGCCTCGTTTTTGCTGCTATCTGGCTTGCTAGACAACCATTTTTTCCATACTTGTTGAATTTCATTTAGATTGCAGACAATGTTGTTTTTTGTTTTTGTTTTGTTTGTTTGTTTGTTTGTAAAGGCAGTTTTGTTGTTTGTGTTCTCTTGGCCAAAACCTGCATAATCTGCAGTACTTATCTGTTACATGAGTTGTAAAATTATTTTAACAACTCACCTGAAAGGTCTTCTTAACTTGATGGCAAATGACATACAGTGCAGCTTTGTCAGCAGAGATGTAGACCTTTTCTAGTAGTTTCTCCAAGGTCATCTATCACCAGTCTTATACTGCACAAAAACATGCACTGGTCTGAAACCTGTGCCTATACAGAAGAGCTGAGTATAAAGAAGCTGCTGCTGGTGCCAGAGTAAATTAAATTTTAAAAGCCCTGTTCTAAACTACTCTCTATCACTCACTACCAAAGCCACAGTAAAACTTAGGGAACTGCTGTTCCTGCTGTATTACATCCAAATAAATTAATTTGGACTGACACTAATGGCTCTTGACAAACTCCACACTACTGCCTCTTATGAGCTACTCTGTGTTTAAAGCAAGTAGCTGGTATTACTCATAGTGCAGTCCTCAAAGCTCAGCAAGGCCAGGAACTGCTCAGGGCAGCCTCTATCCCTGGGCCACAGAACAGCTGAGACTCATTTTCCTATGAGTCCTCCAGCAAAGGGCTACTTATCCCCACAGCTATCCTGGCAACAGCAGCGTAAGAAAAACCACCTCAGGACACACCCAAGTGGTCTCACTTTTATTCTCCCCCAGACCAAGAGAAGGGGACAGAGAAGAGCATTGCTGGGGACTCCCCAGTGCCGTGTTCCCTGAGGATACAGTTTGCAGCACCTTGCTGCATAACGAGCTGGCTCTGCCTGGCCTGGCTGCCCCGGCTCCTCCCTGCAGGGCTGTCACAGAAGACTGGCCTCGGGGTTCATGTGGTCCACGTCACGCCAATAAGGAAGCAGAGAAGGAAGAGCAGACAGTTTGTTTTCCAGGTGTGACCAAAGCTGAGCTGCCAGAAAGCTGTTGCCTTTTGTTGATAAATGAAGACCATCAGACAAATAGGAAGAGAAATCCTACAAGCGAGGTTAAAACCATGTATTAGTGTATTTGCTAGCTAAAGGAGACAGTCTTCAGTAATTCTTCAAAGCCAGCTAGTAAACTGGTTTTATTTTCCACTGTTTATCTTAAAATACTAAGAGAATGTTCTGATGGCCAAAATCACTGGTATTCATCAGTAAAAGATCATAGGATTAAGTGATGCAGTCAAAATGAACAGTCTACTGAATTGGGGAGGACAGGGGAGGGAAAAGGTTCAGGATCCAAACTGGAGTTATCTGCTCACAGGAAAAGTCTGCAGTCTCCCATGAATGAGTTTGGGTATTTGGTCAGAAGCATCAGCAATACTCTTGTGCAGCCAGATCTGACCTTGAAATTAGCCCAACACTGCACAGTGGGTTGGACAAGAAAGAAACCTACAGAGGCCCCTTCCAACCTAAACTCTTCCATGACTCAAATTCAAGAAAAAGGCTATTTAGATATAATGTACTTGGGATATTTGCTAGCCAAGCACCATGGCCAGGTTGTATATAGCTTTATTTCTCATTGCCAACTATGAAGCACTCTGGATTATTTTTTTTCCTTCCCTAAAGTGTAATTTAGATGTATTTTGTAGCATTTCAGTGATATGCAGCAGCACTGGTTCCTCTATGCTAAATGACGCATTTCACAATTTGTGACAGTTTCAATTATTTCTGATTTCATCGTACCTGATTCTTCTGCATCAGGGTCCAGAGGTCGAGCACGTCCGTGCCGCATTCCCTGGCGACCTGGACACAGGCCTGGGCGTACTGCCCGGTGGTGGCATTGCAGCGGTTCAGTTTGTCACCTACCGAGCACAAAGAAAACATCCAGCACCCGCCACTGATTTCAGCACAATTTCAGTCTTCTGTGGCACACCCCACGTGTTTCAGGTGTTAAACCTGCACACGTAACCAATAACAAACTAAATACAAAGCCTGGCAATGTACACGGCTGGAAGCCACAGCCTGTGTGGTCTTTTTCAGGGCCCTTTGGTTCTGAGTCACTTGAAAATGTCTCTTTGGAAGAAATGCATCAGGTTAGAGAAGCAACAGAAACAAGCAGACAGTATAATTCTGCTGCTCACAGCTCTCACCTTCTGGCAAGCTTCAGGGGAAAGCAGTGCTTACATTTAAAACTCTTCATACACCTGCTAAGGCAGGTAAAACAGAGTTAAGTAAATGGAAATCTATTTACAAGATGAGTTCTGCTTTTTGTCTGACTCCACATGCAACTGCTCCTTGCAGTAGCCCTCTTGCTACTTTTTGCACCTCTGAATGCTCCTGTGAACATCACCATCCTCCTGCTTCCCATCTCTCCCTTGCTCTGGTATCTATCTGAAAAAATTAGAAACAGGCAGAAAATTTCTCATCAATACTGGAGAGCAGATGGTCTGATATTGCTGCTTACTGTGCCCACAATACTTCACTTGTGGTCTGAGATCACCATGTCTTTTGTTCCATCCCTAGACAGTACCCTCTTTTAGACAGATGCTGGCAGATTCAATGCCGTAAATTCAAGTTTCCTCCCCTCCTACCCCATAAAAAGGACAGCCTTAAGAGGAAAATGGGTTAACATTACAAGTGCTCCTTGGCAGCTGGGAGCCAGATAAGCAGCATTTGAAGTGTGCTCACATGACATCACATCAAAGCCTCCTATTGCAAAATCGTACAATAATGTCCAATTTAATGCAGTTTAAATTTAGGGTAATCTTAAAAGTTTCACTACTTTGATTGAAAACATGACCCAGGATATGTAACACCACCTAAATTATAGAAAGCTGTGCCACAAAGGTACCACCTCTGTAGATCTATGTACTATGTATTTGTACCTGACCTAACTCAAAAGTTTTTTATTAGTGTGCAAGAACTGGACAAGGTGTCCCAACAGAAAAGAGAACATGCTCTCAGGACATATAAACTGTCACAGCTGGAGTCAGTGGGATTATGGCAATTTCCACCAGCTCAGTAACACAAAGTAAGTGGTGCTACTATGTCTCTAATTTTAGAATTAGCTTAAATAACATAATGGGAAATAATTTAACTACCTTTTTTCTTCTTTTTCAGGCACTTTTATCAGCATCCTTAGAATATGATGTTCTCTGGTATTGGTTTTTTTTTAACTTTTAAATAAACCTGGCTGGGATATTATTGCTTATCCAAACAGATGGGAAATCTGCTGTACCCAGTAAAAACTTTTCTAAAGCCCACAGTGCCAACATTTCTTCAATTATTTTATTATTTTTATTATTCTGGAAGCTGCTGGGACACAATGGAATCTGCCTAGGAGATGCTGATAAACCCCATGTTCTTAGAGGGCAGCCACTTCTGTCAATTCTATGCATTAACAGATCAATCAACACTTTGGAAAAGATATTTGTAATTACTTGGTAGTTACAAAATAATTACTATAAAGTAAAATAATTACTTACTCCATGAGCTTATCCAGAAGTTGATCAGTAAAACAGCAGCCCCTTTCCAACTAGTCAAAGAATATGACTACAATATGGCACACACATGAAGGAAACCACTTGACAACCTGGGATCTGTCCCTTACACTCCACTGGTAAAATGCAGAAATTCCACCCATCCTCATCACTCCTTTACCTTTGGCAAGACATGCCTTTTCCCATGCTGATTCCTGAAGAGGTGGTGGTGTTATCAAAATAATCCTGTCGGCAGTAATGTCTACTGACTTCAGGTACTGCACCATGCTGCGCAGGTTGGCGGCGTACTCCTCGAGGGGAACGTGCTGCTTGGGGTTCAGCTCTGTCAGGGGAGGAGCAGTGCATCAGTGGGGCTGAGCTCCCTGCAGGCTTCCCTACAGCACAGCAGCACTTCTACACAGTACGGCCACGGACACTCTTTCCAGTATGCAGCACCTCTCAATCACGCATTTGGGAGGTGTGGTAGGAAAGTTCTGCTCCTCAATACCCAAAGCAGACAAATCAAGAGTTTAAAGACAGCATTTCCAACAGGCAAATAAGGCACAGGGAAAAAAAACCCCCAACAGTTGGGTTTTTTTAAGATGCTTTTTTTACAACTTCGTATCTTAGTATCAGAAAATATAATCACCTCAAACCTCGTCTGAACCAAAACCTGAGATTTCCAATATTCTTGGATGCAGAGAAAATTTTGGAAAGTCCCATGGACATACAGTCAGTCCTTGATGCACTGATGTAATTATCATTTTGATTAGACTCTGCATCCTGCTATGCTCATCTGAGAGAATCCAAATGCTACCTTCCCTCCTTTCCTCAGCCCATCTGCCTCATCAGTCTCCTTTAAAGACAGAAGAAACAATTGGATGCCCAACTCCAATTTTAGGCAACTGCTACACAACTAAGTCTTGAGCATCTTGAAATTTATTTTTCTAGTATTAAAACTTGGTGATAGGAAGAGAAATGGAAGGCACTGCATGGTTTAAATACAAATAAAATGACAGAAAGCAAACCTCTGTATAAATGAAGAGAAAGTAATCAGTTCCTGCAGAACTAGCAGGAAAAGCCTATTCCAAAATGTTCTGCCTATTCTGCTAAACTGTAAAACTGTTTTAAGAGAACAGGTCACAGGAAAAAAAGACAGAAAGCAAGCTACTCTACCTTTCAAAGCACTGTCATTAGCTCCAAAGAAAATAGTAACTGCAGCAATACTGTCAGCACTAGTACTTTCAGTGATCAGTCTTGGAAGAATCAATTTAGCCCATCTGGTGTTGTACCCCGAGATCCCACGGTTCACAACATCACACTTTCTGAAAGAGAGACACATATAAAAAAAAAAAAGTCTCTCCTCTGTCCACCAAAACAAAACTTTGGAAGGTTTGAACCCTTTCTGTCAAACCATCTGCCTCCATCCCTCTCAGGAAAAATGAGATGTCACATGAGTTTTCAATGGGATCATGCTTTGAAAGCGCACACACATGTACTGTTTACCTGTTACACCACGGAACCAAGGCAACAATCCTGACAATCACTAAGGAATTTTTAATTTCCACTCAAGCTTTGTGTGGAAACACCCAATAAGTATTTTCACCAGTTCTGGGCATGCTGCCCAGAAGGCAATTTCACTTCACTAAATAAATAAATGTCAATAAATAAACATGTATTAAATATTAACCACTGTTTGTTTTCATTTAGAAAAGCTGCATGACTTTCTACAAGCTGAAAATTACTTTTGAAATTTAAGCTCTTACCTGACCAGTCTCTCAGCAAGGTATGCCCCCCAGCCATTTTCCTGGAAGGAGTACTGAAAACAAGGAAAATGGTTAGATCCTCACTGGAAGATCTTGCTCCCAAGAGCTTAGCCCCACCACTGGCACCTTCCACCTCTGTGCATGGCCTCTGGCACTGCTGCTGGTGCATTTCCTCCCTGCCCTGTCCCTCTGAGGTCAAACAGAACTGGTTTTACCCAGGGGCACCACTGGCCTCTGAGGCAACACGGGGCTGGTACCTCTGCAGGGATGGACCCTGTGGTCCCTTCAAAATCCAAACTGACCACTGCTGGACTGTAGTTTCATTTTGGCCAGCGAGGGTGTGATTGTTTTTCTACTTTATTTGTAAGATCATTTCATTCTGAAAGGCACCTCTCAAAAATCCTCCCTCTTCGTGGAGTTCAGTTTAACCTCTTCCAGAAACAGGAAAACTAATTCCTCCTCCTTATTCCCACTGCGGCACCATCCTCTCTGCTACAGTTCTGCACGGTGAATTCGGCTTAGACACCCATCTCCCATTAAGGATAAACCTGGTCTCTGGCTTTATTTTTTCATCAGAGCAGTCCAGTGACCTACCACACAACCCACCCAACAGAAGGCAGGGACCCACAATCAATGCCCAACAGCTGGTGCTGCCTCAGAGATGTTCTCCAGGTGCAGCCACCTCCATGGAGAAGCTGTGTCCGGGCCGGGCGAGCCAGCACGGGGAGCAGGGCTGCACCAGGAGCAGAGCTCGGCTCCCTGCGGGCGGCACGGGCAGCACGCTGGGCCCCTGCATGGAAAATGGCCCTGACACCGGAACATCCTTTCCGCCCCTAACGCAGCGATCTCAGATTTCTGCGAGACGGCTCCAAATCCGACATTCGCCCACCGGCGCGCAGACCCCAGGCACAGCCTCACGGCGGGCCCGGGGCTGCGACCGAGCCACGAGCTGCGACCGGCCCTGTCCCCTTCCCTTTCCCCCTTCCCTGGCACCGGAGCTCGCAGCAACGCCGGCACGGCTGCTGGGCCGTCGGCCCCGGGCCGGCCAGGGAGCCCCACACGGGAACGGCGGGCCCGGGGGTACCTCAGTGATGGAGTCTCCGAAGAGGAGGACGCGAGGCCAGCGCAGGAGCCGCCCGCGGGCTCCCGCCTCCGGCAGCGCCATGGCCGGGCCGGACATCCGCCGCAGCGGCCGCCTCCTCTGCGGGAAGCGGGCGGCGCAAAGCCCCGGCTACAAACCGGGCTCAGCTTCCAGCCCCACTCCGTCTTTCATCGCCTCTTTAAAAGGTTCAGTGACGCAGGGAGGGCGCGCCCGGGGCAGCCGCGACCCGCCCCTCACACAGCGCCCGCGCTGGTAAAGGAGCGATGAGGATGGGTGGAATTTCTGCATTTTACAGTGGAGTGTAAGTGACAGATCCCAGGTTGTCAGGTGGTTTCCTTCATGTGTGTGCCATATTGTAGTCATATTCTTTGACTAGTTGGAAAAGGGCTGCTGTTTTACTGATCAACTTCTGGATAAGCTCATGGAGTAAGTAATTATTTTAATTTATAGTAATTATTTCCACAGAACGTGTGCAATTTCATGGTCTGTACCTGTTTCAAAGATAGACTTCCTTCTTAAGAAAATGCAATTACCTCATTTAAAAGACTTCATACTGTTTAGCCTGCTAACGCCAAAATTTGAGGAGGAAAGTGTCACTAATTTTGCTAATCGTCCAATACTATGAAGATCATCCTTTGGCAACAACTGCAGATAACTCAGAGCATCACCCGTGCTGTATTTGGAATTCTGCTGTGTCCTGCAGTGTCTGATATTCCGTGTCCCTTTTCCCAGGCCGGGATGGTCACCAGCTTGGGGCAGACGAGGCTGTCACACGCCATAAGCACCCACTTCTCCTGCAGGTGGTGGTGTTCCTATAGTCCAGTTAGTGCCATACCTGCAGGCAGAGTTTTAAAGCTCCAACTAACCCCACCATTTTCAGTTGTGTTCAATCCCCTTTTGATTTCAAGTAGATACAAGCAAGCAGGCAATCACGTTCTCAACAGGAACAAAATTACATATGCAAACTCAATATATCAAATTTATCCTCCAACAGATTTTAATATTCAAAAATACATAACTCCATTTAATCTTTGTAATTCTGTATCAGGTTAAGAATTATTTCTTGTATGTGCATGTAACAGAACATATGCACACTTTGCCTGATTTAACTGCATCTATAAACACAAATACAGTTGTTACAAGGTTGCTGATCCATTATGTGAAATAACTCGTCACTTTCACATTCACAGAATTCAAACCTTTGACTTACTCAAGAAAAAAAATCTATTGATTTGTAAAAAATAGCTCAAATAAACTGAAAATTTAGAAGATTTTTTTTTAGGTATCCTAAGTATCTACAGAGGTCAGTATACAGGGCTGAGAGCATCATAAAGCCTCTGTGCTGCCAGTTCCACCATTTCACAAAGGGATTCGTCATCTTCACTTCCTGGCTCGCAGTCAACTGTCTGGAACAGAGACAGAAGGATGTTACAACAACAGGCACTTCGTGCTGCCTGCCAGCACACAAAGAATGCTCGTGAGGGGAAACGAAAAAGTAGTCATGGAAATTATCAAGAGCAGCAGTGTATATTTTTCAGTGGTGTGCCAGCACACAGAGGAGTTCAGAGAAGACCTAAGCAAGTCCTGCTGAGGAGCAAGAAGCTTAATTTTGAGTCTTATGCTCAAAACTGCTATGTAAAATGCACTAAATTTTGTGGAGTACATTTGATTTGAAATCAAATGTAATCAAAAAATCACAAAAGATTAAGTTCCTGGAGATTTTGCTTTATCTGTATATTCACTCATACTGGATTAGGTTAACACTGCAAAACACATGCAGTCACTAGAGGTAGAGGCACCACACTGATGTTTCCACACACGATGACATTTACACAAAAATAACCAAAATAAATTTATTTTTTACTAAAACAAATTTTCCTAGAGAAAGATGCCCACCCCAAACATGAAACTTGATCTACATTCCTGACTGCTCTACCTCAGAAACAAAGGGCAGCATTGGAGTAATAATACTGTTCTTGCTCCTGTGGCCTTTCTAGAGTCTAAGACTATACCTCCTTTAATTCAGTATTAACTTGTTACTCTTCTGATTTTTCCAACCATAAAGGTTTGGGACGAGGGGGGGAAAGGCACTTAAAACAGCAAAAATGCATTTAATGTTATCTAGAAACGTTATTAAAATCATGTTAACTGTAAGACACTGTGTTAACACGGAAAAAAAAATTCCGTGTGTCCCACCAGTCAGATCTAGCTAAACAGCTTTTTATTTTAAAGCAAGTAAAGTTTTATAAGATATATACACATGTAAAGAAGGGCAGATCTGCCTTGTAAAATCTGGTTCACAATGGCACAAGCTTGCCATTGCCAACACAGACTGTACAGTAAGTACTGCAAAGATACACCCTGTTGTAACTGAACTGCCACTGGGGTTTCTGTCTGTATACAAATCTTTTAACAATAATAAGGTATTAGAAAAATGAAATCAGAATTCTTGATTAAGCAGCATGCATCCTTTTCCAGTCTAGTTACTTTTTGCTTTATTTCAAGAGTTCTTTCACCAGTCCTTTATTTTTCTATACTATGTACAAACTGAAATGTAAGATTTCTTATTAAAGAATTGAAAAGAGATGGCACAAGTTGTGTGTTAACCACTGTTTCTCACTATTTTCTTAAGGTAATTAACATTCACTTGTTTTGTTTCAATAGGTAACAAATTTTTGGCACGGGCTAACCTTTTTTTTTGGGTGTGTAGAATAACATTTGTTGTGACCCCTTAAAGAAAGCATGTGAGAGGTGCTCTGTAGAATGAATTTATATTACATTATTACTATGAACAGAGGCAATATATAATCTATGTTTAATATGTTATTAGTAATGACAAAGTCAACATATTAAAATGCTTAAGAACATGAAGGACATGGCTTTAACCATTCTTTCCAGTTTTAAATTATTCAAAATACTAGGTGTGATGGCTTCTTAAAGCACCCTTCTAACATGTATGAAATCCAATTCTGTAAGATAGTAAATTAATAAAATATTTCTTTTTGTGAGTATTTCAGGCTTTCAATTTAGCTCCAAAAGGAGCTAAAGATGACAAAAAAAATACTAACAACATTCTTACCCTGTAACTGTTCAATTATTCAGACCAGAGCCGTGCTTTAAAAGCATTTAAAAAATGTTAACTACAATCTTGCTTTATTCATTTTTGTCATACAACTGAGCTGCTGAAAAATACTAGGGTTTTTTTCCAAATGTACTGCATTTGTTGCATAAACATTGCTAGCATTTTTTAGTTAACAATGCTCTCTGTTTTGATACCAAGTACATTTCCTTAGCAAGTGAGTACATGACAGTGTAGGCAGCACCGTGTGCCAGACAGGAGACAGCTGAACACAGCAACACAGAAGTGCTTTGCTTTACATACCCGAGTGTCCAGGGAAATGTTGGCAGTCTTTCCATCCACGGTGATGCACAGCACGGAGTCATCTTTGGAACTCACACAGTCCTCTCCAAACATATCCCTAAAGCAAAGACCCGGGAGTGTAAGGTGTGGCCAAACAGCAAATTTAGGTTTTTCTATTGACCCTGAGGTCACTTCATCAGGTGAGTATCACCTTTCAGCAACAATTATTTAACTCACTCCGATGTAATTAAAAACATAAATCCTTATTATGAGAGTGGGTATCAAATAACAGTAACATTTTACCAAAATAATCTCGTCATAAACAAAGGGAAGGATTCCTTTATTTCAAAAGAGGCAAGATTTCTACACAAGTAACAGAACACATCAGAGTAAGTTTTAAAAGATATGTGATCCAAAGTTGTTTTTATAAACCATTTGTAGCATAACTTTTGGGACAATTAAAAAATTTGCTTCTGGAAGACAGAACTGGGCCCTGTATTCAAAATTTTAATGGTCCTGAGAACTTTTCACTGTCCCTCTTTCTTTACTTCGTTCCTGGCCTTCACAGAAATTAGACTGAAGTAAATTTGCATGAAGTATTTTTACAGAACTATCTTTACACCCTTTTATACCAAGACTGTTCTATTTACATGGTTAACATTGCTCATTTTCCTTTAGAAAAATATATACCAACTTACTGAAGCATGATCTCCATTCTCTTCCTATATACATCCATATCTATTTTTTTGGAAATCTTATTTACTGCAGCTGAAAAGAAAAAAAAGAATTTACTTTCAGACATTTACTGGGAGGGAAAACGGCTAATTGATAGATGCCATTTACAAACTGCCTTTCCTGAAAAACACTCCAAAAAATAAATAAAATATATCTATGTTTAAACAATTTATTCGAAAAAAGAGAGACAAGGAAATGCATGCATTTCCATTATATATTCCTGTACTTATAATATTTTAAAGTAAAAAATTTCCGAATTCACATTCTGACTTTTTACTTCTGTTTATTCTTAACACCCATTACATCTCACATATCCTTTACTTTAAATAGAGAAAATAATCTACAGTTGTTTATAGTACCTCCATTTTCTCTTATTACGTTAAACTACCACATCATGGAGGCTGGGAGCATGCAGAGAATGAAAAAAAAAAATAATATAAAACTGGACACTTTTATTTTATACTGAATGTGAGCAGTAGTAACAAGCACAGACATTCCTGGAATATATTTCAGCATAGAGAAGTTGAAATAAAAACAATGCATTTTTTCAGACCTGGTTTCAAAATTAAGAGGTTCAATTATGTTCAAAATTATTTTGAACATAATTATTTAAGTATTTGATTGTTAAAGAGTCAGAAGTCTGTAGGTAAGGGCAGTTGTGAAAATTGCTACCTTTCCATTGATGGACGCAAAAAACTTTAAGTCTTTTGAAAAACTGGTTTCCAATACTTCTAAATCAGCTGAATAATTCAGAACACATTGGTAGTAAGTTGCTGCATAATTCTTTGAAAAACTTTACAACTGCAAGTGACCGAGCTTAAATCTTAGTAATAATAAAAAAGCCTGAATAAATATATTAAAATTTACTATTGCTTAGATAAGATGCAGTAACTGAACGTACTAAGCAAGATATAATTTTATCCTGGAAATGAGGCAAACACAGGCACATGGTCAGCTAAGCAAAAATAACTGAAGATATTTTAATTTGATCTCTTTTGATCCTGTGTACATACCCTAAAATACACAACTG